CTGTGCCCGAGTGTTTAGTATCAAAGAAATTTCACTTTTTATGACGATGATATCAAACTAATTTCACACGCACACACCACACACACAACACACACGCATACCAAACACACACACGCACGCACGCACACACACAAAACAATACAATACTACAAAATTCTCCTTATTACTGGACATTAATATTTGGATTGCATAATATCATCATAAATTACGAAAATAATAATTACGTTATTAAATATTAGCATAATAATAATGACAATATAACAACCACATTTAATTCAATATATCAAATCATCACACTGTGTGTGTCAACCACTGGCTTGTTTGACAATTTTCAAGGAATGAATGAATGAATGGACGAATGAAGGAAAGAACAAATTAATGAATGAATAAATGAGCAAACAATGAATGAATTAATTAATGAATAAATGGATGAACGAAAGAATGAATGAATGACTTATAAATGTTTGCCTGTCTGCCCATATTTACTTTTGGATGAATGTTTTAACACTAATAATATTAATTATTATCACAATAATACGCACTTATAAAACTTATTACAAATATATAATTATATATAAATATTTATATTCAAGAATTAATAATTAATAAGATAATAAATAGTAATAATATTGCCTCAGAAGCGCATGTAAGATGTAAAGTTAATTCAATACATATTCGTTAACAATTTGAATAAGTGTTTATATGCCAATACTTCACATTACACACATACACAAACACACGCATGGAATACATCGTCGCGTTCGACGAATTGTGTCATTGATGAGTCCTTTGATGCGAGAACAAGCCTATTCTTGATGAACATCGACGACCACAGGATCCGCAAACCCACACACCCCTGTGCTGTTACCATCCCGGGCCACCTGCTTACGCCGTCCTCTTTTTCTAACTAGAGCTGCAATGCGCGCCTCCTTGTGAGCGTGTCTTCCACTGTGAACGCTCAAGCGCAACGACACCCAAGGTTTTAGAATCCAGTCCGACCGACGCTTTTTAAAAAAAAAACACAAACACACACATACACATACACACACACACACACACACACACACACAAACGAACAAACAGACAGGCACACACACACGCGCGCGCGTTAATAATAGTTAAGTAATCAATGACAGAGTATTAATGAGGTGAAAGTCTAACAATTATCATGATATCAATAAGGATAATAGTTTTAATCATAAAGTCATTGCAGATATACACTCAATTGTTTGACCATTCACTCATTCATTCATTTATTCATTCATTCATTCATCTACCCAAGCATCCACACATTCATTCATTCAATCAATCAATCAATCAACCATTCATTCATTCATTCATTCATTCATCAACAAACATTAGAAACTCATTCATTTATGATTTTAAGAACTAAATTAGTAACTTTCACCATCATGATACTTACGCCTTTTTGACGTCAACTATCGTAGCTGTTCTTTCCAAGCCAAGAATTAAATAATAATCTTCATTCATGTTCAAAGCCTTCTAAGAGAAAAAAGATTAATTCATTTATTAATTACAGAAGTATCCTGTATATTTTTTATAACATAAATATTAATATGAATATACATCCATAAAAATTTATGTTATATATATATATATATATATATATCAATACATATATATCATATTTATATATATATATATATATGTGTGTGTATGCGCGTGTGTGCGTGCACGTGTGTGTGTGCGTGTGTGTGTTGGAAGGAGACCATATTTTATACAGCATTGTATGACTTCTACAAAATTGTTGGCATTAATCAATTTATATTAAGGTAAATTGAAAAGACAAACTTTAAATTGATTAATACCAACAATTCAGTAAAATTCACACAATACTGTATGTGTGTATATATATATATATATATAATTGTAATTATTACATAAAAAATATTTATTGAATAATACAACTTTGCTGAGTTATTGAAATAAAAAAAATGACTCAAACATTCTTAAGATTCTCTTCTAGTTTAGAGAAACTATCTCAGACAAAAAAAAATTGTCAAACATATATGCATCCGTGTGTGTGTGTTTGTGTGTGTGTGCGTGTGTACTAGTGTGTTTGTGTGTGAAAAAAACTTCCCTTATTATCTATTACACAACCATTTTATTTTATCAGTTAGCAGTTAGCATAATTACCATATGACAAAATATATTATACACATACACACACACACACACACACACATACACACGCATACATACACACACATACATATATACATATACACACGCATACATACGATATATACAATACATACATAAAACTGAACCATCATTTGTTAAATACAATTAATAATTACTATTGTAATATTAGTATATTTAATTAATACTCTGTTCAAAACCTCACAAATGCATGCCTAGTTGCAATGTAATTGTATAAAAAGATTTTCTTTATTATTAATAGCACAGTTAAAAAGAAAGCAATTATAATTTCTTATTAAAGTTTATTTAAAATTAGCACAAAACAAACACAACATAAAAATTATATAATTATTTAAAATTTCTAATTTAATATTTTATAAATTCAGCCCGGGGCTATGATTTCGTCTTTCTAACATTACATTTCCTGATTTATTGATTAAAAACGTTCCAGACAAAGAACAAGGCAATGAACAAAAATTAAAAAAAAATAAAAAAGAACTGGTTTCTGGTACCCATATTAATTTTATATTATAATTTATATTATTTTAAATTTAATAAATGTCATTTATTAATGTTGAACTCTATAATAATTTTAAAATCTAAACAATCAATTTCATTTCAATATTATTACATTTTAAATGATTATCATTACGGAATTTATTTTATAATATATGAAAATAATAATGAATCTCTGGGTAGTATATTTTTAAAAATTAACAAAACAAATAACAAAATTTTTACTTGGGGTATGTTGAACTTTGTGGCCGCTAAAACTGACTTTAAATTCGACAAAAATGTGATTTTTAATTAAATTTCGCTCACTAACCTTTTCTTTATTTCACTAATTCCTAAGACAACCAAACCTAAATAGAAAAATCTACTTAATGGCTGCCAGGACACTGTAGAGATGTGCTGATAAATTTCGATAATTAAAATTCGATAATTATAATTATGCTCGTACTGCTATTGCAAAACTTACATGAAATATTCATAATAACTTACAATTTAACATGTCTCACCGTGTGTTAGATACTTTATAAAAACTTCATTTAGATTGCTCTTTATCAACAAAAATTATCTACTTATGCTTACAAACCTACGCATTTGTTGACGTAGGTAATATAGTAGCATACTTGTTTGATAAGTGTAAAATGATATCTAATTATGGATAGAAATATCCATGTATCTAACCTTATTGTATATCTATGTGCATATGTTTTATATGTCTTGATACGTTTATCAAGAGCCATTTACGTTAAACATTATTATTTGATGAATGTTATAAACGATTGTGTCTCATGAGAGCCATCATCGTCTAGTAGGCCAAACTAAGAAATTCGAATGAAATGATTTAGAATGTGACAAAGCAGTCTTATGCATTTGCGATAGAGTCGGATAGTAGTAGAGAAAAAGAGGAGAAAATGGGACGCTAGGAGAGACATACATAAACCGCAGACCACTTCAATATCCGCATACATTTTATATTGGATCTACATAAAGACATAACAAAATGTAAGGCTATGAAACAATCAATTGCACTTTAAAAGTATAAGGAACACATTATAAGAGGCCTATAGAGTTTTAATCAAGAAACATGATTAAGCAGGCTATCTAAGAACTGATTTGATAGTAGCCTACGGTCATTTAGATAAGGGGTGTTTGAATTAATTTCCAACTTTTTATAAAATGGAAGCTAAATATTGCTTGAAATTTTTATTTAGCACAAAGAACATTAACAGAAAAAATAACAAAATAAACGAACATTTATTAAGAATAAAAAATGCGTGTAATTGAATGTATGTAGCATTACCAATCACATATGCGCCAGTTTACAATGAAACAATTAAATAAATAACAAACTGTTACAAAATTATCGCCATCCATAATTAATCAAATTAAATCTTATTCAATTATTCTCTTAATTATGTAAGTGATTTTCTCATAAGATGCAGTCCTTAATGATAACAATTTATAATTCGTCGTGAGGTCGGAAATGATTGAGATTGATGTTGTAAGTTTTCTCGACTGCCTGGTAAAACTTCTCCTTATCATCGGAATAAAGATGAGCCGACTGAATTTGAATAATCTCGTCTCTTTGTACTTCGTAAGTGGTGCCCTTCATGACATCTTCGTAGAAATCTACCGTAGCTTTGATCGCGTCATCAAATGGCGTTGGATTCCAAGAAAGGTATTTCACAGCTTTGCTTGAGTCCAGTGTCCCGGCTCTGACAGTTGGGTATAGGTACATTGTAGCGCTATCATCATCGTTGATGAATTTTTGTTTCTTGATTCCTAGATGTTTCTCGATTGTTCTTAGGAAGAATTCAGTCGTAATGTTCTCATGCCAGGCCAAATTGTAAACCTGATCTAAAACCTCCTCGCTCCTTTTGGCCGAAGTTAGCTGTTCGAGAACATTCGCTACGTCTTCAACGTAAACGAAACTGTTTTGAACGTTTTTCAAAAATCTTGGAATGGTGACAGGTTTTTCGGGAAGAAGTTGTGCGAGTTTGATCCAGAGGTGGTAGATCCAGATCCTGAATGTCGTATCTTTTGGTCCCACAACGTCCGGTAACCTGAGAATAACATACGGGATTCCGTGATCCTTACGTTTCGACATCAATTCCTCTTCAGCCAAAAACTTTTCTGTTTAAAATTCAGTGAATATATTTTACAATTTATGAAAATATTAATTTTTACTTGAATGTAAATATTCATAAATTTTATATTCAACGGAAATCTAAAAAAATTTTAGTAAGTTTCGTGTACTAACTATTTGCATACTGGTGATGTTCACTGAGTCTCTCCCTCCTGTCTTTATCGAATGGTCTGATAGCGGATTCCTCTTTGATTGGCTCGCTATCTGGAGTGTCACATACGTCGTAAATTGAATCCGTACTTATGTAGACGTAAAGTTTAGCCTGATGTTTCAACAACTTTAGAGCTTCTTTTATTTCATGATCGCTGTAGGCACTGAAGTCAACCACAGCGTCAAATTTATCTGTTTTGGTTGTAAACATTTGAACATTAAACTTTCGGATAAAAATTTTATCTAAGGCTAATATCTAAGGTGGTATATTCTCAATAGTTTACTTATATTTTTGAAATAAACTGAAATTCGTATTCAAAATACCAAACAAATTTCATACCAAAGTCTTTATTCTTGAGAAAATCAACAAATTCTGGACAGTTTTCAGAGAGATATTTCTTCCTGTCACAAAGGATCACCTTGACGAAAGGTTTAATCTTAGTCTTTGAATCCCAATACCAATTTCCCCTAATTACGATTGTGACGTTGTCGTGGCGTGCTAAAAATTTATCGACGGTTTTGGCTCCCAGAAATCCGTTTCCGCCAAAGACTAGAATGTTCCTGAAACAGGTCAAAGCAATAGGATGATATAGTATGCTTACGGTACTGTGTTAAGTTAACATGTGTTTTCAAACATTTGTTACTTTGCTGTAAATTATTAAACTTAAAAAAGTTGTAATTGCAATATAAGCATTTAAATCCGCTTGAACAAAAAGGGTGCTTAATACCACACACATATACACATTCACACAACCACACACACACAGACATACGCACATACACACAGCATGTGTAATGACGTGGCATATATGCATGTAGGAAGATGCCTGCGTGGAAAAGTGTTTTAACAACTTTGATCAAAGTTCTGCCGTTTATTTAACAATCCTACTGTGAAACTTTAATTAATAAATTAATTATAAATTATTGTTAATTTGTAAAATATTAAATGACTTTTTTTACGTTCTTTTTCATTGAAAGCATTTTTTAAAGATAAAAAAAGTAACTTTCTTACCTTCCTTCGCATTCAACTTCAAAGACTGCATACAGCAGAAACATAAAAATTAAAACTTTCATTTTCTCGATTGGATTGAATCAATGCAAACAATGAGAGAATAACAAAACCGGGGTAGCCCCAAAGATTTGGAAAAACTCTCTAACGATCCAACAACCGAATAAGGAGTTTGGAAAATTAGGGAATGATATTTAGAGTTTTACCGATTCTTATATACTGTTATCTCGTAGGCTGTTGCATATGAGGGAGGAGTCTGTGTGAGAAGATTCCAAGCTAGCAAGTTAAATTCATCTCTTTACGTAAGGATGTATGTATGTGTAACTCTAAAACAATATATATATAATGTGGTCTATAAAAACTGTATGTGGAATATTATGTTTGTATATATATATATACGGCAATTAAATGGAAACGTTTCGAATTTTCTGCAGCCAGACTACGTATATGTATGTATGTGTAAAGTGTGTGTGTGTATACATTTATATATATGTATACATATATATTTATTTATATATACGTACATATATACGTAGTTAGTATTTCCAAGTTTGGTGGCAAAACACGTCACTTTGAAAGTCAGACCACGTCATTATCTGCATAAATTATCTCGAACTTTCCTTTAAGAATCTTTATGCGAGCAGTGCTGCCAACGTGGCTGAATACAAATTTCTAATTGCAAAATGTCTCTATTTATTTAGTTTCTCTCAAAAATAACTAAACTATTTTAACTAATTTTAAGGTAATTTTATTATTAGTTTCTCAAAGAACTGCTTTGATGTGAATTGAATAAAAAAAATAAATGGTAATTCAGAACATCTTTTCATCTATTTAATGAGACACATCAAATAAATGTGGCCAATTAACTCTTACATTATTTATATTTTTTTCAATATCATTTCAAATGGTTTATCAAACTGCGCTCACTTTCTGCAAAATGGCAAAAATCTGTAAATAAACTTATCGACTTTGTAAATTAGAATTCAAAATTCACATCGAGAAACCACAAAATGACCTTATAACTGTAATTAAATATAAAAATACAAAGTATAATATAAGGTATACAGTGTAACGTTATGTCATATTTCAAAAAGGCAAGCTGTACAAATCCTACAGCCTCCATGACTGCATTTCACGCTGTACTGAAATCCAACACGACCAACATCATTTCAAACACTAATTTAGTAAAAAATAACTGTTCCTTTTTTGATAACTTAATTTTAATCGCAGAAATTATTCTTTAATCGTATTCATTAAAAAAATTCTTGACGCGCTCATTATTTACCAAAGTTAATTTTTTTAAAACTTTATTGTCTTGTAAATGCAGTATATTATTGTATTGTAAACATCTTTGTTAAAGTTTTAATGGAATCATGAGTTAAAAAAAAGAGTTGGTCTAACAAAATCGGTAAAGAAGGTTGTTGTAAAAATGTTGTAAAAATTTATTTTGCTTTGGCCATAGACTCAAACAAAACTTTGTTTATTCTATATATACGGTTCGCGGTAACGACTTAAGTTCGCTTTTCACCGCTAACTCTCCGTACTCTCCGAACTTTCAGATGTAAGTTTGATTAAAATATCTCTAAAATTTAATTTCTGAATATTTCATTTTAAAAATAATTGAATTGTTTGTTAATTTGCTTTACCTGTTTGACTCACTTTTACTTTTTGATAACTTTTTGGATTCTTCTGACGCTAGCTACGCTTTCCCCATTACTAATTAACATTCAGTTTATTAGTTTTTGGTTTCCGTTTGTTATTATTTGGTGGCTACTATTATGTTTTTTCGTACGAAAACAAAAATCTTTCATTTTTCATTGAAAAGCTAAATTTTTAATCAAAACACTAATTTTGAAGATTCTAGCATTCTACTATTCGACAAAATGAGCGATGAGGAGTGTTCGTCACTGGAGGATTTTACTTCAGAATCAAAGAGAGCAGTCAACAGATTGAAGTCCCCAGCAGTGACCAATCAATCCAGACCCAAGAGGACTATATCTCTTGGAAAACCTTCAGCTGCACAATTATTAGGAAGAGCTGGATCAAGAATAACTGAAATTTCTGCTAACAAAAAAGTTGAAAAATCAACCAATGTGATTAAAAGTAAATCGAATTCTAGCATAGAATCAGCCAGCAGCACTATTGTCAGCAGCCTTCCAAAGTCGAGTGGGTCTAAACTTTCTCTACTGAGCACAACTTCTAGTGATGCCAGCGGTGGCAAGAAAGGTTTGATTAAAATTAATTATTTTTTATTTATAATATTTTTTTTACAGTTTTTTAATAATTTTAAACATTCGATATACATTCATTTTTTAGGTAGCCCAGGATTAGCAAAATGGTCAGATAAATGGTTGATTCCTTTCGAACATGGTTAGTTTTAAATTCCATTTGATCTGTATTAGATTTTAATTTAATTTATAAACATTTCATAAAACATTAATTAAAAATGTTGATTTAAAAAATTAATTAATTTCAAAAAAGGATGGCGCAGAGAAATAGTTTATAGAAACACGCAGACGAAGGGTACGAAGCAATGCGACATCTACTACTATGCACCTGATAATTTCAAACTCGTTAGTTTCTCTATTCTAACTTTTAAATTGAGAATTCTCATTTTTTAGTTAACTTTTATTTAATTTTTCAATTGTTTTCAGTTTTATATTTAGTTAATAATTAATTTATTACTTTTTAATATTTTAATAATAAAAAAATGTTTTTTTCCCTCCAACTATGCAGAGATCAGTGCCGATGATTGTCGAATACAGTAAGTTTGTTTATAAGTTATTTAATTGCTAATTAGATTAATTAAAATCATTCCTAATTATAATATTATAAATATAATATAATTCATTCATTATTATTAACAAATAAATTATTTTATTTCCTAAAAAATAGTAAATAGAACTGGATGTAACTTGACGAGCGACTGCTTTTCATTCTCGAAGCAGCAGGTATACAAGGAGCCATTTGAAATTGTTAGGAACGCTGGCCAATGTTTCAGGTTCGGATGGATTAATTATTTTAAGATTCATAATTTCTTCAAGTTTTGTATAATTATTATTTATTTATTATTTAGTTGTGATATACAACAATGATATTAAATATTTTATAATAATTATCGGTTCTATGGCTAATTATTTTTTGTTAATTCTATTAGTAGTTTTTCAACTCTATTATCATTTATTATCCCTAGATTAATGCCAATAAATTTTTCCCATAATTATTTATAATTTGTAATAATTAATTATAACAAAAATAATTTATTATCATTTCAGAACGTCCGCAAGTACAACTAGCACGTCTTCTAGCTCCACAAGCATAGGAGCGAGCAAAGGCAAAAAAGAAAATCCGGAAAAGAAAATCGAAGATGGTATTAATAATAATAAGAGAAAACGAAAAAACGACGACAACACAGTTGATGTGAGTAACAAGAAAATAAACAGGAAAAACTCTTTGGCCCCAAAGATTAAAAGTGAAACAGATAATAACGACGGTGATGGTGCTGCTGATAACACAGCCAGTAGCCAAACATCACCAAATGTAGAAAAAACTTCATCTGAGAAAGATAATAATGCCACCCAACAAACAAAATCACCAGATGTCTCACGGTGTGGAAATAATTTGGGAGTGTTTATGAGAATTGAAAGTTGTCAAGAAAAGAGCGAAAATGTTGACAATGACAATAGCACAATGGTCTTAGATCAAACTCTTACAAACGTGAGGCAAACGGATGTTGCTGGCGATAACCAACGTCACTCAGCTCCCAGAAATAATGGTGAAGAAACCTTTCTTTCGTCCAGGAAGAAAAGAAACGTACCAGAGACTTTCAGTCCTGTAAACGATGAGCCTCCCTGCAAAAGAAAAAAGTTAGACGACGGAATCGAAAATGATGATAAAATTGATAACTCGGAGCCAGATTGTACTGAAAGTACGAACACTATTGTGAATAACGATGACGCCAACAACAGTTTCGACAACAATGACGTCAGCATAGGCACCACTGGTAACGATGACAAAGATAACATCAACAGCGAGGAAAGCCAGTCAGAAACCAGCTTCCTAACCAGCAACACCAATGAATCAACGACAGAAATTAAGAAAAACCCAAGAGGAAGACCCAGACGCATCGTCGATCCCAACGCCGTTCCTGTTAATGTGAAGAAGAATCCTGTTGGCAGGCCTAGACTGAAGTCGAAGGATGAAAACTCTGATGGAGTTACTACAACTCCGACTACTTCAGGTTCCGCTAGGACTTGTGAATCAACTTCTATCATGGTGACGAGGAGAAGGATTTCTAGGATGAAGAAGGATGACGATGGCGTTCATGTGATTCCAGTTAAAAGTATCATTGAGGTGGAAGTAACGTCATCACCTCTGTCCTCATCAACACCAATGAAAACGACGTCGAGGTTCCTCAATACTCCTGATAGGCCAGTTAACAATTGCAACGAAACGGCAAATGATGCATCTAAAAACACCACCTCAGTTAAGATCGAAACATCGACTGCCAGCCAGCCAACATCATCTGTAGTAACAATAACACAGAGTAATGAAATGATGTTGTTATCACCAGCATCATCGTCAGCTGCAATGACCTCACCGTCATCAACGCTAATGACGTCACCGTCAACAGAAACGTCGTCATCAACATCTACATCTCGTAAAATTTCATGTGGCAAGAAGATAGACAGCAAGATATTTGCGGTTAGAAATGCTGCCAATCTTGCGCTGAGGGCTTACATGCTTAATGCACAAAGAATTGCACAAGAAAGTTTTGACGTCGGCGACGATCTCAATGATGAGAGCTTCGAAGCTGATGCCAGCGCTGACAGTTGTTTACAAACTAAGAATGATAATGAAAAAAGTGCTGATCACTCGGCTAATGATGATGAGGCCAGTGTTGGTGGAGAGGATGATTTGAGTGGAAAGTTAGGAACAGATGGAAGTTTAAAGAGAGAGCCTGATGATGATGATGATGATGATGGTGACAGCGCCAAACAACATTCAACAGTTCAAAATGATGATATTGTTACCGACACTCCCAGTAAAATTTCTACCACTAGCATCACTGAAACTACTACTACTGCTGCTGCTACTAAAAATACTAACTCAGTAGTTGAGAGACAAGCAGATTATAGTTGCAGAAAAGATGTAGAATCATCACTCTTGCCAACAGTTCTATCAGAAGTCTCCAGATTTGTAAGCGACGCAAAAACAGCTACTGCAGCCGCTTCAGCTACTACTGTTGCTGCGCCTTCCATTGCTGCCGCTAGTGCTGCAGCTTCTATTGCTGCTACTACTGCTCCTGCTACACAAAAAGTTGCTAGGCAGTTGCAGTTTAAAAAAGTAGACCAACCATTTGATAGAGTTAGAGGGCCTGTGGATTCTCATGCGTAAGTATCTGACTAAGATAGGTGTCTATGTGTAAAAGACGTGTGTGTGTGTGTGTGTGGTGTGTGTATGTGGTGTGTGTGTAAAAGATGTGTATATGTGAGTGTGTGTGTAAGAGAAATTACATTATTACTGCAAGCTTACAAGTTTTATTACGAATAAATTACATCTCACTGTAACGTTACATTACTATGATTTTCGTTGTTATCATCCTCGTCTGTGCAAAGTTTGAGGAATATAGTATGCGGACCGAATTGCGCCGGTAGATCGATACCTCCATCTGTCAGATGTGACTTTTGCATGAATCTCTATCACCACGAGTGTCTTGGCCTGAGTTTCAACAATGTCAGATGTTCCATGATCTGTTGGGTTAGTTTTTTCTTTCTTTCTTTTCTCGTTTGTCATTTGTTGAATGTTCTTTGTTGTTTGATTGTCTGTTAAAATTTTAATAATTTTAAAAGTTTGATGCCTTATGGAGTATTAATTTTTTGCTCTCTTTATGGTTGATTGGTCGGTTTTCACTAATGTTAAAAGATTGCTTGCTTTTTAATGTTGATCATGTTATTGGTTGATATCTTATATGTAGTGGCAAAAGCATTGAAATCCTAACTAATTCAACACAATATACAGGGTTGTATCAATTCATTAATAACGCAGGGCTGCCAGTCATACAATCGCGAGAACGAGGGCGTCGAATACCCCATGGTTCGTTCTGTAGACTTTGCAGTACCACATACGACAGCCACGGTGGCAGATGTTGTCGATGCTAGCAACAACAAAGACTACAACAACAACAGAGGTTTCATTAGACATCATCTACAGCTGCAGCGGAACGCGAGAAATACAAACAACAACAACATCGGCACATCACCTGACATGTTTGAAGGTATGGAAACTGGTGCTGGCAAAGACGACGGTTGTGACAAAGTGGAAACTCAAGTACTCGTTATCAACTCCGCAATCACGAAAACTCTCGACATTAAGAAAGAATTCCTACTGAAAGTTGCAAACCAAACGATAAAGGTCAGGCCCGAGGATGTATATGTTTCTAACACCGGGGTAAATATCCAGTTGTATAACAGCCCTCTCCCTTCAGAGTACATTGCCGGTCTTAATAACCCACTAAAATTTTCAGTTGCGACAGTGGAGAACGTTCAAGTTCTTAATGTTTCCCTCTTAAATGGACCTGTTTGATGTTTTTCTTTTTGGATCATTCGTTTTGATAGATTACAAACCTGTTAGCATTAATTTGAAGTGTGTGTGTTTGTGTATGAGTGTATATATGTGCGTATGTATGTGTATATAGATGAGTGAGGTACGATTTTTTTTTACTGTCTTGATTGTGTTAATAATGTATAGTTAATCTTATAATTATAGATATTTTCTTACTAAATTTATTTATGTTATGAACGTCTACATTGTTATGACTGAAATAAAATGTGAAATAAATGTGGTTCTTTTTATCACACTCACACACACACACACACACAGATATATATAATATATATATATTAAGATATATCCTTCTGACTCTTTCTTTTATATCCCCCAAAGCCAATTTCTTTCACGTTACGTACATATTGGCTTATTTGTGCGTCAAGTTTTTCTTTTCGTTTTCCATTAAAAATTCAGCATAAATTATTTTTTAGTTTAATAAAGTTACTGCTTAGGCTTAATAACGTTCTTGTTTTCTGAATAAAGTTGAATTTCTTTGTGTCTCGTTCATCTTAGCTGTAATCCAAGGTGCAGACATGATTTTTTCAAGTTAGAAATTTTGTTTTTTAGAATTTGTTTTAAACACAAAAAAGACAGAGGACACATTATTTTGCCTTTTATTTCTATATCCCATTTTTAAATTGTTAGTTTTCAAATGTTTTCCTGATTTAAATAGGCATATATAAATAACTGAATAAACGAGTAAATAACAGCAAATTAAATGAATGAATGATTTGTGTTGTTTAATAAAAAAGTGAATAAATTATGATAATGTTCTGTCAGTAGATCTGATGTTAGCGTCACTGTCATCTGGGACTTCGTAAACTTGAGTGCAGGCTATGAGAAAATATAAAATATATGTGTATTATAAATATAGTATATAAATATATATGTTTATATATAAACATTGTATGCTTATGTATATAGAATTTATTTATAATAAACTTTTTAGTAGTATTATTACTATTGCTTGTTTATTTATTAATTATATCATTAATATTAAATTAACCTGTGAACTCATCAGGGAACTGTTTAGTTAATCTCTTTTTTAACTGTCTTAAATACATTAACATAAAAATTTATCATTATTTATAATAAATATGGTATTTATTTAAAATTCAAGTATAAAAAATATTTGTAAATTACATGAATACAATCAGGACACATTGTGTAATATAAATTTTAAATATATTGTATGATTAAATTGTAGGTGGCCTATTGGGTTATTAGCTGACCTTATCCTTTTAAATATCTGTTCCAGATCTTTCTTAGATGCATTCATTAAGTTGATGTGCTTTCTGAACTGAGCCTCGATGTCTTGGTACCTCGTTGACGAAAGGCTATTAAAATTTGACAACATTTCGTTCGTCTTTTCAAATCTAGTCAACCTGAAGAATAATTATTAATTATTTGTTGTGTAGATTTAATAAAATTGAGTCGCTTGCTTACACCTTACTGGCTTACAAAAACTACTTTCCTAACTGACTAATAGTCTAATAAAGTTTGTATGCCACAGTAAATGCCTATGTAGGCAGGAAATGCCACTATTGTTTTTTCATAAAAAAAATTAAATAAAATTATTGTTAATAAGTACAAGGAGGGTACAGTACAGCACAAGTACACCAGAAAAATAAAAAAATTTGAAATCCAAATCAAATTTGAGAAATAATTCAAACATTTGTTTTTGCAGATCAGTCATGTTTGAAATTTCGACATCATTCATTTGGTCATTAATTACTTTTACAACTGCATCGGAAACTCCGTCCGCCCCCATTCTAACGATTTGCTAGTTTTCGTGAAAATTAAAATAAAAAGCCTTTCATTTGATTAACTTTTAAATCAGGGGTGTGTTCGTAAATTAAGTTTCCTTTTAAAATTACGATTAACACGAAAATACATGTCTAACGAACACACAAATTTATTCTACAGACAGATCTTGCGACCAAGTAATAAAGACAAGAGAAAAGTATACATAATTAAAAAAAATTCATATATTTCAATTTATAGAAGTTTTTCTGTCTGATTTCTCTCTCTTAATGCCTGGATTTTTTAGATTTATGTCGACCTGGTGATTTTGACATCGACTTGGACCTTCTTCTCTTTGGACTTCTTGAATGAGACCTTCGAAAATTTTAAACAACATCATCATCATTATAAAATCATCATCATCACCATCATCATCATCATCAACATCATCAACACCACCGTAATTATCATCAGCTCTTTCGACAGCATCAATATAAACAATCAATTTCGTCATTCTTAATAAATTTGTTTAATTAGTTATCAATTCTGCTACTACTGCTATTACCTCTTTGGACTTCTTCTTTTGTGCTTTTTCCTGTCATCTCTCTTGGGGGAGGAGTTATCTTTCTTCAGAGATGTAGAGGACGATGATGAGTGCACTGGAGGTGAC